AGTTTTGCACATTATAAACAGGAGCCCTCAAATCACACAACATAGACTCTCCTGTGGTAAGGGGCGTGTTCCCACCAGTGCCCAGGGTTCTGATGACCGGGAGTGGACCTCATTTCTCTTCTGGACCGTTGCGACAATGTCTTTATTCTTTTTTCTTAATGCTAAAGATATTAAATGAAAGTAAATCTAATAAAATATGAAAAAGTTTTCCTTGAGCATGTAAATGTTGATTATAAGCTGTTCAATTAATTAAATAACTATGTATTTTATTTAACTGAGTATGAATCACACACATGCCTATATACTTATAAACACCATTAACATCATGGGTTTTATTCATTTTTTTCATGATTCCTATACTAACATTTGTGTCTTCCTACTCTTACTGCTATCATTTTCTCTTTCTTGAGTTTTTTTGTGAAGGAAACAATCTAGTATGATTATTTTCATTTCTTCCTGAATTACATTAATATTGTGACACCCACAAGAGAAGTTCGAAAGTTATGCCATCTCAGACAAACTGAGACTAGAATTTGGGTCACAAGAATTAGTGGAGTCATGGGCTTGGCTGCTTCTTATAGCTCAAGTCACTTAATTGGTTTATCGGCTTCTAGTCCTAACACTCTTAAAAAAGATTTTAAATGTTTCTGGGATGTGAGGCTTTCCTGCCATCTTCCAGATAAAATACAAATTCCTTAGTCAGATATATAAAACCGTGGATTTTATAACAATCCTCTTGCCAAGGCCTTGGAGGCCTACCTCCTACCAGCTCCCCATCCAAACAGGCTTCCAGCCACGCTCATCAACTCCTTCTCAGCCAAATCCACCTCCCTTGAAAGACAAACTCTTGAAAACTCCTCAAGTAATTATTTAAGAAGCTCTCTAGTGAATTGTTTGCGGCACTTAAGGCATATCTATAATTGCTTATTCATAGCCCGTGAATTCTCTGAGGACAAACAGGTACTTAGTAGTAGCTGTTGAATTTTGCATGAATGAGTGTTTTCTCTTTTGTTCACATATGGATTCCCTTAAAGACAGTTAACTGGTTAGCGATGATTTTCTTTGCAAAAATACCTAGTTGTATTGGCGTACATGTTTTGTGACCCTGAACTTTCTTACGGATTTGCCTAATATATAAATCACCTTTTCAGAGCCTTCTCACAACTTCTTAAGGAGGGGAATTATTTTATCAAGTGTATAGTAAAATGTCCACGTTAAAAAAAAAAATAGAGTTACTCTGTCCGGGGTGGCTTAGCTGGTTGGAGCGCTGTCCCATAAATGGAAAGGCAGCAGGCTTGGGGCCCAGCCAGGACACATACCTAGGTGGAGGGTTTGGTCCAGGTTGTGGTGGACCGGGGTGTGTGCAAGAGGCAACCAACCAATGTTTGTCTCTCACATCGATGTTTCTCTCCCACTCTACCCCTTCCCTTCTCCTTGCCCTCAAAATCAGTAAACATGTCCTTGAGTGAGGATAAAACAAATAAAATAAATAAGTAGTTACCCCTGCAGTTCCATGGTTTTTCACACTCGATTTTGTCCGGAGTTTTTGGGAGAGTAACATCTAGTGCTAGAGATTTATCAGTGTGATCTAATAACATGTATTGTCTGTACCCCTAGACGCTCTTAGCGTATGGCTCTTAGCATATGTATTGTACTATATCTTATTTGATTTTAAATTAACGTAATGCTCATTAATCGTGGCAAGTTGAACACAGGGGTTCACTCACAAAATCTCACAGTAAAGGGATAAAAATAATTAAAACAATCCCACTAAGACAGCATGAACAGGAGAATGGTACACAGGGACACAGCTTTTACTTCTTCTTTTTCTAATATATATTTTAGTTATTTACTTTAGAGAGAGAGGAAGGGAGGAAGAAAGAGAGAGAAACATGGATATATGAGAAAAACATCATAGGTTGCCTCTCACACACACCCCAACCAGGGATGGCCTGCAACCCAGGCATGTGCCCTTTCCAGGAATAGACCCGGCAACCTTTCACTTTGCAGGCTGACACTCAAACAATTGAGCCACACTGGTCAGAGTGGGACACAGCTTCTAACATAAGCTTCCCATCAGCCTTTCTGTCTCCAAGCCCGCCCCGCACCTTGGCCGGCAAGTGTGTGGCGCTGTGCAGCCTGGGGCCCCTCATGGCTCTGCGGCGTACGCTGGCTTGCTTTCTGTTGACTTCCTCCCTGCAGACCTACAGTTTGGCTTTGTTTGCTTGTTGGAGTTGGCACCTGCTATTCCATCAGCTTCCCAGCTTCCAAAAGAGCTGTCATTTCTCATCTATTCCATCTCCTCTTTTCCTTTTTGCCGTATGGGTTTATGCTTTTTGTTTCTTTTCTGCCGTTTTAGTCAGATTTCAGGAGGAATGGTAATAAACACGTGGGTTCAGTTTGGCAAGTTTAACTGAAAGTCCTCTTTTCCTTGTTCTGTATGTTTTAATGTTTGTCTGGTCTTCCCAACGACAGCATGAGGTAATTCCAAGAAAAACGACTTTTGTAGTGTTATTTACACATTGGTATAGTATTTTTCAAATAGGAGTTTTAATGTCTGTGGTTGTTACCAACTACCTTGACTAGCACGCCCAGGAACTCTTGGGGGTACATGAAAGACTTTTCAAGAACATTGGCAATTTCCACATCCTCAGCTTCCATCAGTACCCCTTCCTTAAATTCCACTGAGAATGCCTGCAGCCCAGGTATCACAATCACTCTTTTTCTCTTCCTCTTTCATAACACCTTTCTCAGTCTTTACTATGTACACACACACACACACACACACACACACACACTCGTTCTATGACACAATTTTCGCTGGGTGTAAAAATCTGCAGGGCAGCATAGAAAAATAAAACTGAGATATTGCTTTGGGTCAATTTTTTTCAATTAAGGCACCATAGTCCAAGGTTTGCCCCCCACCTCCTGTCTCTCTTTGTCTCTGTCTTTCTTTCTCTCCATCTCTCATCTACACTTCTTTCCTTTTTTTTTTTTTTTTTTTTTGTCAAGAACACAGCCTGGAGCCCTGACTGGTGTGGCTCAGTTGGTGTGACTGGCGTGTCATCCTGTAAGCAAAAGGTCACTGGTTCGATTCTGGTCAGGGGACATGCCTGGGTTGCAGGTTCAGGCACCAGTCAGGGCGTGTGCAAGAGGCAATTGATTGAATTTTCTCTCTCACATTGATGTTTCTCTCCCTCTTTCTTCCTCCCTTCCCCTCTCGCTAAACATAAATTAATTTTTAAAATAAAGAACATACCCTGGTGTCAGAAAATGAGTACTTGTCCTGTTTGAATTTCCATATACTGGAGAGTGGGAGAAAGGCGGCAGTAATGACAATTTTTAATTGGAGACTTTCCCTCTTTTATCTTTTGTCAAAGAAAGCACTGCTCCCGAGGGAGAGTCCAATTATGGGAAAGCAAGGAAAGCAAAGACAAGAAATGTTGAAGGTGCTGACACCTTATTTCTTCCAGCTAATGGCAAAACTCCACGCCTTATCTAACTACCTGAGAACACTATCATTCAAAATCTGCTTAAAAAAAAAAAAATCTTGGATTCTAAACACTGTTCTCCAATTTAAAATCAGGGCAGGTGGCTTGGACAAATGGTTGGTTCCAAAGTTGGGGCAGGGAAGCAAGATGAATCTGGAACATCTTGTTGTCCCAGAAAGTAAGAAAATACTAAAAAAGAAAAGAGGATTTCTTGAAAAAACAAAAGAGCCAAACTGAAGGTGCTCTCCCGATAGCCAATGGTGGAACAATTTGAGCAACAAAATAAATAATGGTATTATTGGATATGAAGTCACATAACAAAATAAAACATCCATGAGCCCATACTATAAATAATTGATCCAATGAAGGGGGAGATCAGACAGCTCTTCCGTATAAAATGCCAGTTAGTGCAGAAGGAAATAGAAAATCAGCGTTGGCAAAACATCACAGTAGTAACTGTTGCTCTCACAGATACAGGGGACACTTTGACGGTTGCTGGAGCAGAGGACTGTTGGGGCAGAGGGATGAAGGAGGTAAAGGGAATAAGCAGCACAAATTGGTAGTGACAAAATAGTCATGGGGATGTACAGTACAGCAGAGGGAATATAGTCAATGATATTGTAATAACTATGTACAGTGCCAGGCGGGTACTAGACTTATTGAGGGGACCACTTTGTAGGTTATGTAAACATCAAACCACTGGGTTGTACACCTGAAACTAACACTATGTTGAATATCAAATATAATCAAAAATTTAAAAAATTTTTAAAAAATTAACCCCCTTATCCCCAGATAACTGTGACAGTCAACATCCACTAAAACTAGGTTATCAGGAGCAACAATTTGCATCGTCTCCAAGTATCTCCCCTGACATCTAACGACTCCTTTTGAAATGGTGGTGGTTGAAAAATAGTACGTTTACCAAAGACTGGCCTTAAGTAAAATAGCAAATGGATAACAGAAGTGTAAGCCTGTGAGCACAAACTTATTTCATTGCAAGTGATGTAACCAATGTACACATTTTTTTCTCTTCCAAGTTCTTTAATAGCTGAAATTGCACTCAAAGAGACCACACTGTAAACTGGGTTTAATTACCAATTTATTAAATTTTCCTGTCAATTGCTACATTCTGTATGGAGCCTTTGAAAGATGTTTTGAGAGTTCGTTCACAATCACTGAAAGCAGATTGCTCTGTAAAACGTACAGGTAACTGCAGGCTCCTGAAACTTACAACATAAATATATTTCAACATTTAAATAGAAGCCCATTTTCTTCCAAAGTAATTTTCTCCCACTTTCTCATAAAAGTATAAAAAAGACAACATTTATAGTTTTAAAAACCTATATGGAACACAAATCAAGATTTCTCTACAAATGATATATATTTTTAAAAAGTTTAAAAGACATCACAGAATAATATGTGATGTTAAAGTAAATAATCTCATCACAGCAGAGTAATTTACTTTTAAGAAATATAGTGTAATATTTTTTAAACTTTCACGGTAGATTTCGAGTGTGTATGTGCTGTGCTAACACACCAGATTCATCCAAGTCTCTCATATTTATGCAGTAGACTGTTGTATATGACCAGTTATCACATAAACTGTCCTACTGTAATTGCAAAAATGAAAAAAGGCTATCTTCATGAAAGCTTAAAAAAATTTAATAAAAGGCAACCAATATCATCTTAATTTTCTGTAAAAATTACCTTCCTTCCTCTAACTTTCTTTTTCCCTTTGAATGGTACCTTTATAGCATATTAACACACAAAGATATTTATATCACCTTTACTTGCTAGCCTTTTTAATGACTGTTTTCTGAGACACTGAATTTATCAAAAGGCACCAAGATTAGATTCCTAAGGTGTTTCAGAGTTTCTGTTCCTTTTTAAGTTCCTTTAGAATGATGCTCCTCAGAAAAGTGTCTCTAGGAACCAGAAGAAAATGAATGATACAACACAGTAACTTGGAACTTTTACCATCGAAAAGGTAGAAATATATTAATAGATTCCTTGAACTTTTCATTTAGGACAAGAAGTCTAAATAACCTTTGAACATAAACATAAAAATAGAGCACATTTATTAACAGTAGGAAAACTCCTAAGCTTATAATAACAATGTATTAAACCTGACATAATAACACACAGACACAAGCATTAGAAATTCACTGCCATATATTCTGATGCATTATCCTAAAAATATGTTTCATACATAACACTAACATATAACAAAGTATAGCATTTATTTCACAGGGAGAAGAGATAAGCTTTATCACAAAAACAGATCTACTGGATTTCAGCTTTTGATTAAGTATTAGAGATATATTTTAAAGATAAAAAAGAAAAACAAGATTCACCCTTAAAATAAAAAAGTATATATATAATCCATTATTAATACTTTTATGCTCTTATAATGTAAAACATTTAGAAACTTTTGAGCTCTCAAAATTTTGGCCACTTAACCTATTTGGCTTTAACATATTCTAGATTCCCTTTTGAGACTCAGAGGCAAGTTTTCGGTCCTTCAGTCCAGGATGAGTGGAGTGATTCTATTTCTTTTTCTTCTTCTTCGGTGGTTCCTCCTCGGAGCTGCTCTCGCTGCTGGTGCTGCTGCTGCTGGAAGAGCTGGAATCTGAGTCGGAATCGGACGACGAGGATGAGCTTGTGGAGGAGGCTGAAGACGACGAACCAGAAGAGCTTTCATCAGTGTCGCTGTCCTCGGAGGAGGATGAGGTAGATGTTTCTTCACTCTCTGATGAAGAATCGCTGGCTGAGCTGTTGCTGCTGCTGCTGCTGCTGCTACTGGAGCTGGTTACACTCTTAGACCTGTTAGAAAATCAACAGATATATGCACGGGAGGCTGATGTTTCACAGAATGTGCATTTCATAGGAATATTTGCACATGTATGTAGTGAAGCTCTGCCAGCGTGTTGTTCCTAGATTAGATGCTTTGGGGATTGCCTAGCTATTGTAACCATACATGCTTCCCTCCCTTAGCAAGGTCTTTTACTTGAGCAATTCAGGTCTCTTGGATGGAGTCCAAGTTAAGCGTACTTAATATATTATGCTCCACAGCAAATAATATTAGAATAAAGTTGCAGTATAACAATTGGGTTTACTTAAACCTCATGAAGAGTTGTAAATGTCTCACAATCTTAACTACTTTACACCAGATACAGCTGCTCAATAATTTCTTATCAGTCTAATAACATTTCCTATTCTAAGCTAGTAGGAATTTACTATTTCCAGGTAGAAGGACTCTGAAAAAGTAGGAGAAAAAGGAGACATAAAGGCACTAAATTCTGAGACGTAAAAAGAACATGGAAAATAGGATGATCTTTACTCATACATTGCAAACAAGAAACTTCAGGTCCAAATTTTATAATTACTGTTTTAAAATCACTCCTCCCATTCCTCCAACTGGTATTATATATTAACTATAGGATACTCTTGAAGCCACACATACCTTTTCTTCTTGGTCTTTCTTTCTACACTGGCTTCTCCAATGCTGTTGAACATGAGGGGGAAAGAAACTCCTATTAATACAGTGACTATGCACAGCTCAGACCAAACCTTGTTATCCCTGAAACTATTTTACATTGGAGAAACGCTTTGTCTTTTATAACATGCACTTCTTATTATAACCAAATGGAAGGTTTCCTGTTGCGGGCTGCATGTGGTACAAAGAGTCAACTAACCAACTCAACACCAACGCAAGACATGCTATATATCGACTGCATCTGAGAAGCCAGGGAAGTTAGTAGTTCAGATGATTGAATGGACCAATCAGAGTCTTTTTTAGTTTGGAACTTAGGTTGATATGGCTAAATCAACTACGTCCTGAACAACAAAACCAAGTAAATAATAGCACAACAGGTATTATTTATAATTGGAGTTTCCTGAGTCATATTATAAATGGCCATTTCATATAAAAAGACAAGCAGCCTTTAACTTAACCATTTTTCTGCACAGCCCCCAAATGTTCAGTTATTGACTGTGACAGTTAATACTTCAAGACTGTGTTCCCTCACATTATATGCAAAGAACAAAGTCTGGTGATTTTTGAATGAAATATACAAATGGCTTGCTGTTACATTCCTGCCAAACAGCATGCATACTAAATCAGGTTTTCAAATTATAGAATTACTTCGATTATTATAGTGCTATCTTATAAATTTAATATTTCTATATTCTGAACTTTGTATTTCCTAGATAAGACTTCTATCCTTATTTCTTGAGCCTTCAAATATAAATATATATGTATGTAAAGTTGTTTTACACAATGGAATTACTGAACTGTCATTTTGGAATTAAAATAAGTGGGAGAAGTACATTTAGTAAACCATGCTGCAAGAATCCATGGTCACTGAAATTCACACATTTCCATAGTTTTATCACTAAACCAAAAATCAGTAGTCTTTATGTAACAGAGCCATATCTAAAATTCGTGTAAATCTATGTATTTTTAAGCTCAAGATACTTGTGTAATACAACTGGAAAAACACAAGTAAAAGTAAGTGATGGGATGAAGTTATTTATTTTCTCTTTTATTTTATTTCCAAAATTTTTTGCTTACATTCCTAATGAAAGGATTTTGAAAAACTATGTTTCCCCCATATTTTTTTTTAATTCTAAGTTTCAATACTTGTAAAGGGTTAAATCACTGGCATATGGACATATCACTCTTTTAAGAAGAAAATTGTTATATGACTTTGATAATTGTATCCAATGAAAAGTAAATGTCACAATAATTTGATACCTAAAAAACACATGAACAAGCTTATCTTTAACAGTTGGTACTTTTACATTGCCCTTTTTTTCCTTTTGAACTTCTACTTTTATTCTGCTTTCCCCATAGAACGTATCCCAAATATCTTTATTCCTGAAAATTTTACTGATCACTTAGGAAATTCTCTGTAATAAAAATATAGATATAACTTGAAATTATATCTTTTAATTACTTGTGATCATAAGGCTTTACAGGGTTTAAAAATTCTGAACTGAGTTACCATTACCATTATTACTACAAAACTCATTCAAACAATGTAAAAATATAAATTTTAATAACTATTGCATATAAAGTAATTTATTAAAATTATATCTCTTAATTACATGGACGGATTTTTTTTCCAGCTTACATATGCATGAATCTTACTGCTAGACTATGACAAGGTTCAGCATCAATTTCTATATTTAATTTTTATAGATTTAATCCTGATAAACTTTGTTAACCTAAATAGGTAGATATAGAGTTTTGTTGTAGCAATGCCAGCCAATTCTTTGACCTCTTCCCATGTTATATTCTACAAGTAACATAATGATGTGTCATTAAAATATACTTATATAAATTGACAACTCAATTAGGTCTTATTTTAATTTTGCTGGGAAAAGAATTTACAAAATAATTTATTCCCCTTAATTAGCGCCATTCACTTTCTCAATACAAATACCAGTAATATTGTGAAAAATCTCTAGGTGTTTTTTTACACGAGGACAATACACCAAGGTAGATTAGAGCTAGATAAGAGGTACGCTTTTCTTTTGTGAAATTCAGGGTGTTGGGAATGTGGAACAGGAGAAGCAGGAAGGAAGTTCTCACATTTATTTTTGGAAAAAGTATATGTGAATATTGATAATCTAGAAGCTGACTGCTTTTTTATTCCTGCGTAACCCTTGGAGAGCCTCGTGCCCACACCCGGGACGGCCGCTGCCTTGGAAATGCAGGCGTTCACACCACTGTAGAGCTGACGGCCCTGAAGACGCAGCTTCTGACTTGTCCCGCAGAGTCGACCTGACCCCTTCCTATTTCAGTTTCTCTAAAACATATAGACTTACTTATTTCACAGGAATTTTAAAAGCTTTATTCAAGGGACATAAAAGGGTAAATAATAATTTTCCACTTTCTTCCGTACACAGCCCTCCTTTTAGAAAGGAACCACTATTATCAGTCATTTATATTTTAAAAAAATCCCATTATTCCCTTTTTCTTCTGTAACAGAAATGATAGTGTATTATATATACTCTTCTCTACTTGGTCTACATACTTAACATAAGTATCTTAGATATTTATCTTGGTTATCTTTTCATATCAGCTCACAAGTTCCACCATGTAGCACACTGTTGTCTGTCGTGTCATTGGGAGTTGAGGCAATAAAGCAAAATGACTGAGAGCGCGCAGTCAGAAGAGAGACTGGCTGGCTTAACACTGACCTTTTCCACTTAATAGCTGTGCGACAGTGAGCAAGTTACTAAGCCTCTCTCCATGCTTCAGTTTCTTCATATGTAAAACGGGGATTAATAATAGTACTTACCTTTATGTGACAGATCTGACACTTAAATACATAAATACTTTTTAGGCCCTTAATGAATTCTATAAATATAAATTAAAATATTCCTTTGGATACCACATGTAAACTTACCTTTGTTGTAATAACAATTTGTTTTCTTTTTCTTTCAAAGCTTTCTTTAGTTCCGCTGTTCTTGAAGGCCTATGGAGGTATTTTCTTTTTCCGGTACATTCGTAAGTCCAATGTCCAAATTCCAAGCATTTCTGACACCTTACGTGTTGCTTATTTGCTTCACTACAGAGCAAAAACCAGAATACAGGCCTTAAAATTTTGACTTGACATTTTCTGCCCTGAAATGCATCAACAACAAAAAGTATAAAATGATGTTTATTTTTAAATAGAAACAAACATCACTTCACACTCTAAGTTGCTTGTTAGACTCAATCGCAAGACAGCAGAGGGAGTGGTCAAGAGCGCGAACCTTGAGGTTAAGACAGAGCTGAGCTCAAATCCTTATTCCACAGCTCCACTGTAGTAACAGCAGACTAGGTAACTCAGAACACCATCCTTGGGCTCAGGCAAAACATTGAAAACCATCTGCCTGAGGCATCAGAGAACTAACAAGACGGTAAAGAATAGCCAAGCCAAGGTGTAGAAGGAGATGGCAGCCCAGGCGATCAGGCCTGTGGTTTGTATCCAGACTTAGGGCTCTGAGGGGTTCTCCCCGTAAGGGGAACCAACCAACCATACATTGAGTGCAGCCCGTTGTTTGTCTGAAGATTTTATTTCCTTATTTTTAGACAGAGGGGAAGAAAGGGAGAGAAACATCAGGTTGTCTCTCATGCGTCCCCCACTGGGAACCTGGCCCGCAGCCCAGGCTTCGCCCTGACTGGGAACCGATCCGCGACCCCCTGGTTCGCAGGCCGGCGCTCAATCCACTGGGCCGTACCAGCACAGCCCGGTTTCTAGACATCTAGGAGACTAAGAAAAATCTCAGTTCCTGAAATTGAATTAAGATGCGGCAAGCAAAACAAATGAATAAAAATAAAAATAGAGGAAAGAATGGGAAAGGATGAAATAAAATTGTCATTCCTCACTGATGATGCATTATGTACATGACAACTCTGAAAGAATCTACAGACAAAATTTATGAAATAATTTGAACTCATAAGAAAGTTTAGCAAGGCTTTGGACTGGGGGCGGCAAACTGTCTGTAATGCGTCATGTAGTAAATATGTTAGTCTTTGCAGACCAAGAGGCAAGAATGAGGATATTATGTAGACACATAATAGGAGAGAAAAAAATTTTCCAGAAATATTTTGTTAATAAAAATATTTCAAATAAAAGGTTCACTAATGAGAAGAATGGGATTCTTTTCCGGAGGATCACATTTCACTTGATGGAAGATCAAAGTCAGTGTTCCCTATCATTAAATTGATCACATATACCAGTAGACATATGTAGGTAACATTCTTAGTTTGTAAGCTCACAAGAACAGGCAGTTGGCAGGATTCAGTTTGCCCAACACTGTGACAGACATAAGGTCAACATGTAAAAATGAATTGTTTCTATATAATAAAAAGTTAAAAATGAAAGTTTAAAAGGTGGTATTTATAATATCTTGAAAAATACCAAATACCTAGAAATAAATAGAAATATGTACAAGTCCTTTATGCAGAAAACAGACATTATTGAGAGGAATTAGATATTTTGGTAACTAATAGAAGGATATACCTTGTTCATAGATTGGAAGACTCAATATTGTAAAAATGTCCTTTCTCCCCAAACTATAGATTCAAAGTAATGCCCATAAAAATCTCCACAGGTTGGTTTGCTGGTTGATAAAGGCCTATAAGAGAAATATCTGAAAGTCTGCCAAAGTGAGCTGAGACTACTGAAAAATACCAAGAACACCAGAAATTGTTTCATTTTGTGTCTTAGTTATATTTAAAGCACAAAGAATCAAAAAACGGGATAGGTTTACTACTTGGCGTGCTAGGCAAATAGGCCACCAATATCATGTTAATGGGCTAAGAGAACAAGCAGGGCTATTTTATTTTGCTTCAGTCTGAACCCGGATACAATTATACATAGAATGAAAAGAGTAAAACTGAAGTCCAATGATATTTGAGGAGTACGTAACACAGCCCCTATCCATTCTGAATGCGTTTTAAGTCACATGCGCAGGTAATTGCCCTCCAGCATACCAGAGATTTTCCAGGTGAGGCTGCTGGGTCGCTGCTGGTAATCTGAGGAACTCTGGCACACAGGAGTGGTGTTGAAAGGCCGGAAGTAGGCAAATGCTGCTTTGATTTGAGAAGTGGGGAAAAGGCGAGATTCCACAAACTAGACCAGTGAACTTAATATCCATTCCAGCCAAAATTATGGCTGGGTTTATTAAATTGATTCGGAAAGAAAAGCCATGCTCACTAGGTATCAAATTATTACAGACTAATACCATACTGCCTTTTGGGGAACTGTATTTTTCAGTAAGGCATCTCTGAAATTCTCCCACAATATCCTTGTGAACAAAACAGAGCAATTAGGTAGACCAGTTGAACATCACAGGCAAAGAGTCCTGCTTAACAGGCTGAAGTAAATTATATACAGGTAGGTATCCAGTGATGGCCTGCAGGGTTCGGTCCTCAGTTTGGTCTTTTTCAACATTGTCATAAAGGACACAGTTGTGCGTATTTATCAAACCTGCAGTTGACACAAAGCTGGGATATCTAATACAATGGACGACTGAACCAGGATCCAAAAGGTCTTGACAGGCTGGAACGCTGTGTTGAATCTAACAAGACGAAATTTAACAAGGGTAAAAGTAAATCTGATATTCAAGTCCAGAAAAAGCAATAGCAGCACAACATGGGAAGTCTGACCTGATGGCAATTCAAAGTGAAAAAACCAGCTGAAATCAGTTTAGGTCTTAAGCTGGGAAGTTAGAAGGGGGCAGGGTTTGGCTTCATAAATACTATTTTCCTTTCAGCTCAGCATAAACTTTTTGATAGGTTTGAAAAATGTAACAGGCCACTTCAGCAGGGGAGTACATCCTTATGGAAGGTCTCCCAGCAGAGTTAGATGACTACCCTGAATGCTGAGAAGGCTGTAGTGGAATCTAGCAAAAGGTTCAGTAGGAGAGAGAACCTCAATAGTGCCAAGATTCTATAATCTACCTATGTGAATATGAGTACAGGTGATTGTAATTTAAAAAGTGAAGCTAATCTCATTTCCACTGATTTAAAGTGAAGTCCCTGAAAGATCTGCTGCAGAGGGAGTTCAGATTTAGGCCCCCCCTCCTTTTTCCCTGATAGTCCAAGGACTTTTTAGAAGAAAGACAACAGTACTTTCTCACTTCTCTTGGCTAACTTAAAAAAGGAGTTTAAAACTTATTATGGAAGTATATGCTCTTTATAAAAAAAAAAGTAAATGTTTGACATATAAAATTAAAAGCAAAGGCCTCTTTTCTGCTCCCCCCCAAAATATTCCCCAAATTCTCCCAGACCCCCCCCCGACCCTCTAAAGGTCCTCCTTTGACTGTCTGCAGACTTACAGTCAGTATATCATGACAGCTTTTATTGCACCATATGTTTTCTTCTCCCAAAGACTAGAAGCTCTCAAGGGAAGATTTGTCTTTTACTTCCCTGTAGATGTGTACAAATACAGGTGTTCTATAGAAACAGAACACCTGTATAACTTTGATACTTCTGAAACAAGAAACAGCAATATTCTTCATATGCTAAAAGTCCTACCCCTCTGACCTCCCCAATTAGCTAAACACTGCTTTGTAGAAATCCACTCAATTGCAGTGTCAAGAGAATGAGATCTAAGTCAATTAGAGCTTCACAGTCCCATAGACTAGGTTCAGGGTTGGGCCCATAACCCCATCGAGACCAAGGAGATGCCATTAACTTGAAGCTAAGAGGATACAAAGGACTCTAGATACTGCAATCATCTTGACTCCAAAGGACTAATCCTAAACAAGTATGGAACCAATGCCCTGAAGAACAAACCTGAGCCTTAGAGACGGGACCCTAGTGACGTCATTTGGCATGCTTATGATTATTATCACTGCATTCTTGATCTCAGGACTGACTTCAAAGCCTTCTCCCTCCACCAAGCATACCACATGCTCTGACTCTCTAAGTCTTTAACCCTCATGCTCAAGGGTCTCTTCTCAACTGGCATGCAAGACAGTCTGATGGAGGGGGGAAGAGAATAGACAGGACTCTTGGAATAAAAATATATATAAATAAATATTGAAAGAATTATAAATATATATGTTAGCAGAATGTAAGTAATATATTATTGATGTGCAAATGGGGATGGCATGAAATGCTGAGACAATGAAAAAGAAGCAGACATTGTTTGGGCGCGCAGGTTGGTAGAAGAAAAAAGGCTTTACAAGAAAGTGGTACCTGGATGACTCCTGCATTATCTGTCTGCGGCAGATCTCTTCTGCCAACTCACTCATTCGCCGCAATGGCTGTCTTTCAGTTCCTAGAACCTTAACTTTGTTCCTGTCCCACTGTGTGGATGCTCCTTCCCCAAGTCCTCTCATGACTCGCTCCTTTTTCACACTTTCAATCTGTGTTCAATCGTCACCTCTTCAGGAATAACTGTCTGGTCCAACCAACCTAACAGGGGTTTTTCTCCCTTTCCACCACTTCTTAGTTCCTTCAAAGTTCTTACCACCAACTGTATTTATTTAAAATGTTTAGCTTATCGACTTTCCCCGCCACTAGAACGCTCCCCCAAAAGCGGGTTTTGTCTGTTTAAACCCCTTTTTTTCTTTATACACAAATTCTGGTACAGAACGGCAGGTAATGAATAAATTAATGTTTATATAAGAGAATGAATGGCAGAAAGTGAGACAATAGTTTGGGAGAAAAGTCGGCGTGGTAGTCAGGCTGTTCCTAGGGCAGGCGACAGGAAGGGGCAGGAAAAGCCAGCGAGGCTCCCGCCTGTATATAGGAGGCTGAAGGTTTATGTCGGCGATAGTAGGGAGTCGCGAAGAGTAGGGAGAAGGGCTTCGGGCTTCCACTTGGCCACTAGCTGGGTGGACGGCTGGGTGGGCAGAGGGGCACAAAGCACTCAGCGACCAACTCTTCTGCATCCCCTTCCGGGAAACCAAACTCGAGGCTCTCTTTGGGCCCCCCACCCCCAGGTCCCGCCCTGTGCACCCCAGGCAGCCGTCTTCTACAAAATCGCTAGCCTGCGGACACCAAATTTATTGCCCGGGGCTCGAGCCGGGAGCAGGCAACGTATGAGAAAAACGGCCACCCTCTACAGGTCCCCACTGAGGATCCGACACCAGCGCCGCATCCGGGGCCCGCTCCAGCACCGGCTGACGCGCTTCTCCCCGCCCCCAATCCGCCCTGCCACCCCAATAGGGCCCTCACTTACGCTTGTCTCCGGGCTATGAGCCGATGCATGGGAGTCGCCATCTTAACACTGCTGAGGCCTGCCGCGCTGGGTTTTGGGAAAAGTCCTCGGTTGGGGCGGGGACTCGAACCCCGGAGGACGCAGGCGTGGGCGGAGCTAGTACCGCCTCTGCGGCTTCGGGGGCTAGGGGAGGGTGTTGTGACTCAGGTGTGAATCTCAGGTTTTCAGAACAGGAGTGAGGCGGCTGGTCTGTCCTGAACGGGGATTTGAAGGATCAGTACTTACTTGTACAGTTGAGCCTTGAATAACATAGGTTCGAACTGTGTGGGTCCATTTATACACACATTTTCCCCCCCAGTAAATAGTTGTCCCTTCTTATACATAGGCTTTGCATTCACAGCTTCTACCAACTTTTGATAGAGACCAGCAATTGAAAGACTGACTTGAGCAAATCATGAAGTAAAAATGTTAATTATTTCTATTTTTATGTATTTCATAGGGACATTATATAAGGACCAAGTGATACTATATAAGTAAAGTGTCTTTGTCAATGGGTAAAAGATTATACAAATAATTATTTTAGGATATTTAACATTTTATGTCAGGTTATAGAGATTTTATTACTTTAAATCCACATTCTTTGAAACATATATGTGTGTGTGTGTGTGTATCTGTCTAGAAGATATCCAGCCATGTGCTATAAAAAAGAGACATTTATGGAAAAGATATAAGAAACATTATACATAGGACAAAGATGCCTCAGTTCCCTTCAAAGTAGGCACCTTGGGACCTCACACAGTTCTCTCAATCCCCATCAGCTGCCCTGTTGTATTTTCCTGAATCTCATGGGCAGTCTGGAATCTCTCTCCTTTCAAAGATGACTTTAGTTTTGGGAAAAGCCAGAAGTTGCTTGTCACCAGATCTGGGCTGTTGAGGGGCTGAGTCACCTGAGTGATCTGACATTTCGCCAAAAAACTGCGTGAGACCTGATGTACCAGCCGGCTTGTTATCGTGATGAAGCTGCCAATCACCAGTTGCCCCTAGTGGCCTTCTGAATCACCTGAATAGTTTCTGCCAAAAATGTTCAAGCTTAACGCAAAATTTGATGCAGATTGGTTGCTCCACTGGCTCAGACATTTTGAATGCTCACTCAAGGGCATCTACTACCCCCACTGACTAGTACAATGAAGTCGTCATTTTTCACGTGTGTGCATTCCATTCTACCCTCCTTGGCTGCCAGGTTACATCAATGTTGCTCAGAACGTTCTTGTTGTATTAACAATAGCTGGACTTCTTTCGAACACACTTTAAAATGTTTTAGGAACTGAGGATAAAGCATTGAACGATGAAAATTCTTGTACACATGGAGCTTCCTTCAGATAATAAAGAGAGGCAATGTCCAATGAGCATAAATACTCTAAAGAAAAGTATTATAGCCCTGGCTGGTGTGGCTCTGGATTGAGTGCTGTCCTGTAAACTGAAAGGTTGCTGGTTTGATTCCCAGTCAGGGTATATGCCTGGATTGCCAGCCAGATAACCAATCACTATCTCTCACACATAGATGTTTCTCTCCCTCTCTTTTTCCCTCCCTTCCCCTCTCTCTAAAAATAAATAAATAAAATCTTTTAAAAAAAGGAAAGTATTGAGTGTAAGGGGCTATAAAGTGATTTAGCATTGGTAGATCCAGAAGGTGATGTCATGTGACCTTTGAGCACATCTTGTTCTAAAAAAAATGGAACATTACTATCTATTCTGTTCTTCAGCTTATTTGTTTTTTCCTCAGTGCACCCCGGGACATCTTTTTCCATATCAGCCCATGCAGATCTAATTCATTCTTTTTATGTACTATGTTATGTGGATTACATGGTTATTCCACAGTTTATCCAACCAGGATCCTATTGCTGAACAATTAGATCATTTACTACGAAGATGGAATGAACAGATTTTTAAGCATTCACTGTGTCTCTGTAAGATGACTTCGTAGAAATAGAATTGCTGGGTGAAAGGATATGAGCACTTGTAATTTTGAAAGATATTACCTATTGTCCTTTGAATAGGTTGTACCCAGAACTGCTTTCTCACAAGACCTGAGAATGGTCAAACTTTAACTTTTGCCTATTGAATAAACCAGTATGATACATTATTGATGAGGTTAAATACCTTTCATATTATCATTGAGGACTATCCTTCATGAATTGTCTGTTCAAATTCTTCACCTATTTTTCTATTGGATTTTTATCTTTTTAATATTGACTTGTAAAACTTTTAATATTTTACATATAAACCCTTTAATTTATATTTTACAAATATTGTCTTATTTTGTCTGTTGTCTTTTAACTGTGTGATCATTTACCCTGTACAGAGACAGTAGATTGTATTATAGGCATTTTTAACAGTCTTTTTCTTTATGCATTCCTAGATTTGGCTCATGCTTAGAATAGCCTTCTATGTCCCAAGATTATTATAATATTTTATTTTATTTTATTGTAATTATTTAATTACAATTATGGTTATATTCTTAATCCTAATTTTTAGTTTTTGAAACACCATTTACTAAATAATCTATCATTTCTTTATTGATTTGAAATGCCACTCTCTCATATACTATATATGTATAAATTTAGTTTGTTTGGGCATTATATTTTCTTCCAAAGATCTATCTGTGCTAGGACTTTTGTTATTACATTAATTTCCATGGGATACTTATAGGATATTTAATACCTGGTAAAGCAAGTCCCTCCTGATTAGTCCTTTTTCTCCCCTCAGTTTTTAAGTTGCTCCTAGGCATTTACTTTCTTAGCCAAGCTTTATTTTCAAGTTTTTAAGTTTCTCACAAAACAATATTAAGATTTTTTTTGTTAGCTAATTTTATTTTATTGTTTAAAAGGTTTTATTTATCTATTTTTAGAGAATAGAAGGGAAGGGAGAGAGGGAGAGAAACATCTATGTGTGGTTGTCTCTCGCACACGCACTACAGGGGGACCTGGCCTGCAACCCCAGGCTTGTACCCTGGACTGGGAATCAAACCAGTGACCCTTTGGTTCACAGGCCAGCATTCAATCCATTGAGCCACAGCAGCTGGGACTGTTATCTAATTTTAAGAGAAACTGCATTATAGCCAATGTGAAAAGGCAGGAACAGAATGAGATATAACAAATCAAAAGGAGGAAGCAAATTATGATTTTCTTGTGATGATTTGGTTGTGCACCTGGAAAGCCTACAAGAATAAGCTCAGTTGGGCATCATCCTGCAAACCAAAAGGTCGTGGGTTCAATTCCGAGTGAGGGCACATGCCTAGGTTTCGAGTTTGGTCCCCACTCAGGGCATGTGCAAGAAGCAAACAATTGGTCTCTCTCTCTCATATCCATGTTTCTCTCTCTCTCTCTTTCTCCCTCCCTTCCCCTCTCTCTAGAATCAATTTAAAAAAAAAGAAAAATTTAAAAGCTTTGGGAGGGTTCAGCACAGGGGACACACACATACACACATACAGTACAATAGTAACTTGATTGTTAGTGGCAGGACCAAACTAACGTAAGTAAGGCCCTTGGGCTTTAGGGACCCTCAGGTTTATCCACTGGGGCCCTGGCTAAGATTCAGATGCTGTTCTGTAAACTTTAATGGTCAGAGGCTGAAAAAAAATGAAAAACTCTTGTGAAAGCTGAACGTAATTTTTATCTGGCAAGAATGAACACTTTGCTAGTTTTCCAGCAGACTATTCCTTTATTCTAGGAAAACTTCCCCCAAGTGTCTTCCAGCTCTGTAAGATGTCTCAAAGAACTCATGGAGGGATGGATGTAAAAGGCACTTGTTGGAGGGAGAGCTGCATCTCTCTGGACTGGGTTGCTTCTGGTCAGGATGCTTGTTTCCTGCCCTGATTCTGACCTGTTTATGAGCATCTGTGGTTAGAGAGCAGAGCACTTTGCGGGCCGACACACTGCAGTACAAAGGGCCCTGTGCTTAGTAAAGTCCCACACTTGGTTTAATGCTCTGCTATTGCCATTGAAATTCTTAGAATCTTTTCAACGAGAGGTCCCACATTTTAATTTTGCACTGGGCCCTATATGTCATGGAGCTGGTCCCGCCCCACAAGTGAAGATGTTTTCGCAAGGCACTGACACTGAGCTCAGTGAAAGCCATTTCCACCGGAATCAGAAGAGGAGAGAGAAATGATCCTCCCATTTTTCTTGGAATTTAGAATCAGTTTTTTCTTTGAAAATTAGTAGCTACTGTTAAAAAAAAATTTTTTTTCACCCTAGTGCAAAATCAAGCACGGGTTTTTCCTCCACATGCCTTTGTGTACAACAACAACAATGAGAATCGTTCTCCTTCTACTAGGGTAAAAAACTTTGACTAAGTTGGCTAAATAAGGGAGAGGTTCAAAACAGGGAGACCGCACTGTTTTGTGAAGAGCCGTGGCCACACACGCGGACTGGCGGAAGGGCATTTGGGCCTATGTGGATATAAGACTGGTTCTCTGAATGAAAAAAGGACGGCTTCTCCAACCGCCTCCAAACGTTGCGGGGAGAGAGGTGCCTGAAGTTCCCTGGAAGAGGGAGCGAGCTGCTGTCCCCAGTTATTGCCACCTTCTAAATGGGCTTATGAACTAAATACTCAAAAGCTGCGTCAGGTTCTCTAGTCTTCAGACACAGCTACTGGGGCCCTGAGGAGTTGTTGGGCTCTGGTGCGATATTTTGCGATTACATAGCTTCATAAAATAATCATAAAGCTGTGTGGTTGTGTGTCCAGGATTTGCTCATTCCTTGTCTGGTAATTTAAACTGAACTGCGATAGCAGAGGAGGAAGTTGACAAGCTGAGAGAAGCAGACAAGAGAGACAGAGAGAAAAAGACCTGCGTTGACTCGATTGTTCTCTCCTTTCATCCTTTGGGTTATCAGAACTTTCCTTCAGTAAATCTCTTCTGTGATTAAGATGGTTCAATCAAGCCCAAAGAATCCTTTTAAGTGGGCTTTATTTCTATTTTACAAACGAAGAGACTGAGAATCCTGGATATTGGAGCCAAGTTTACCCAGTTCTTTAAGTCCACTGAAGCCCCATCCAGAAG